AAAACATTTTTTCTTGCTTAAAATTACCATAAAAGGAAAATTTTTAACAAAACAGACGCGATCAGGAGAGAGTTTTATAAGATATATTGTTTCTTTTATAATATATGTATATTCTAACATATACAAATATAAAGAAATGATGTTTATCTACAAAATAATAATAATAATAATAACTTTAATTTTAAATACATATATATAATTGTATAAAATATAAGCAAGCTAATATTAAACTTATTGTACAGTATATACTGTATATATAATAAATATTGTTTCTTTTATAATATATATTTTTTACTATACAAATCAAATAAAAAAATAATATTTATCTATTAAAAAAAAAAATAATACATTATTTTAAATTTAAATTTTGTTTCTTGTATTATTTAAATGGATTTATAGACAAGTTAACATTTAACATATTGTTTTTTACATTATTGTTGTATGTCTAAATGTATGAATTTCTTTTTTTATAATCAATTTTTATTATTTAAAAAATTTAAATTTACATGCTATATAATTTACTTTCCATTTATTAAATTCATATCTTAATTTCGTAATATCATAATTTTAATCATTTATATACAATTTTAAACTTTGAAAAAGTGTTTGTTTGAATAATGATGCTTAAAATTAGATCAACTTGTAAATATTTAATGGACATGTGAAATCGAAGATAATCAAAAAATACATTCTTTATAAACAAATAGAATTATAATGCAGATAGCATCATAAACCATCTCAAAAATGAATAAATTAGTAAATTTGATAATTATATTAATTACAATATAATTCTTTGATCAATAATTGACGGTGAAAAAAATTATGATAACCACATTATCAGAATAGCCACCTATAACAACATCAAATGTATCACAAATTCTGAATAATGAAGAAAGATGTAACCTTAGGAACATTAATCTTTGGACGCAAAGACATTAAACAATGGTATTGAAAAAACAGAAATTAGGTATCGTCAACACTAAAGAAGAAATATAGAAATAAAAATCAATGAGTCATTTGCTGATATTTTGAACGAATACTCCACCTATTCCTCTTCTTCGGCATTTTTGAGCCAGTTGACAAAAACTGTACATTTCTTTTTCACTTCACTAGAATCTTTGGCTTGATTATACCATTCCAGAACGGCGTCTTCATCTACATAGTCTTTATCATAAAAAATCTTAAAGAGAATCGGTGCCTTGTTTAATAGATTTGTATTCCGTTGATTCAAAAATTTTTCCCATGCCCTAAGGAAAGTGACATGATCCTGACTCGAGCGAACGAACTAGAGAACGATGGTGAAATTTTTTATTTAATAGTGTGATCAAATAGCAATCAAATTTCGAAATTTGATTTTACCGTTTTGAATAATTTTTCCTTTTTCGTGAGATCCTTGCTCACTACATCCCATGTCGCTTCATCATACATGCTTGGAATCAGTATATTAAATAGTTGCGACTTGGACAGATCTTTTCTGGTTTCAATGAGAGTAATCTCTTTAATCTCATCCGCAATCGTTTTTTTTTGTTCTTGGGATTGAGAAAAAAATTTCTTAAGGTCTGAAATGAGAACCTCGTCGTGAGAGCGTTTGTCCCCAACCGATTGTTGATCAGTCTTCTTACTAAAGAAGAATGAATAAGAAAAATGAATCTCGCACGAATAAAGAGAACAATAAATAAATTTAACGTTGAGATTATTATTATTAATCACATTTTTCCTAGTTGCTCGCGTTCGACGTTAGACAATTCAACCACTTGCATCCATGGCTTTGAGTAAAAAAGATTTTGGATTAAGCTTATGCCTCACTTGTAAACAATCATATATGCAAATAATTACCTTTTCGTCTCCATCAATTATGTCTTTTCCACCGCGACGCTTGACAGTTGCATTTTTGATAGCCGGACTCTGCTGTATAAATGAATTCTCTTTGTGTTCTTTCGTCTCTTCCTCTTGTTCTTTCGGATTATCTTCATTTTTGTGGTTGAATGTCTCACCTCGTTCGACTTCATTCAACACCTTACGCTCTTCGATCACTCCTCTTCCTTCCAACTCTGAATCAAATTTCGCTTCATCTTGTGTTCGATCGACTTGTGTTTCTTCTATTTGAGGGCTAAAGACGACATATTGGATGGAACGACAAATAGTCTTAAAAAAGTATATTAAAATATTGACGTTTGAGAGTCTTGTCATGCCTATTATACATCATACAATAAGTATATGGCGGTATACGATAACAGTTCTCATTTTCATTCAACACATTAGGTGCAATTCGAGCCAATTAATCGTTTGCTAAATTATACATTCATGAATACCATTTTCTATTTGGATTTTACCTTGATGTCGTATTAATTGAATCAGTGGCCGATAGAATTGCAATGCGACCAAATATTCCGTTCTGAATTTCCGAACGTTCTGATCGCCATCCTCCGGTGATGCTTGGACCTGAAGGGTAAACCTTCTTTTCGGAATCATCGTTAGCATGGTTTTGTCGATGATGAGGGTGTTGGGGCTTGTTGCCTTGAGCATGTGGTTCGGGATTTTCATGATCACGATTGTTATGACCAATATTCGGTCTTTCCCTCAATTCTTCTTCGCCATGAGCAAAATTGCATTTAGGCCCGTACTGACAAAAATTTTCCTTCATAAAACGCTCACACAAACGTGTCTTGTACAAAGGATTATCCGGTCCATCTTTTGCAGTTGGTGGTGCGTCAATTTTCTCCTCACCGGAGGGCCTCTCCCTGAGTTCGACGGTTCCATGAGCGAAGGTACATTTCGGTCCGTATGGACAATAACCCTCAGTCTCAAAGCGTTCGCAGAGACGCGTCTTATAAAGAGGGTTTTCGAATGGCATTACTGGCGAATGAAGGGGTGATGAGAAGCCATTTCCATTCTTCTCTGGACGATGATGCTGCTGACGCTCGCGAACAAGCTCAAGTCTCTGACGGGACATCGCCTGACGCTGAGAATCTAAGGGTAAAGCCAGATTTAAGACCTTCATCCTAGAATCTAATCTATCGCTGTTGATTTGATTCTTATCAATTCGAGATCGTAGAGGCGGATCGGGATTTTTAGGTTTTTTCTTGTCAATATAAGTGTATGCTTTCTTGATAATTTCTTGCATACTTTTGAATATGGCCTTTTCCGTGGCGACGTTAAGGGACAGCCACGCAAAATTGAGGCCTTCGCCACTTGTGTAAACTCGAGCATGATCCGAAACTTGGGCGAGGTAATAAACAACTCTCTTAGGTCTATCATTCAATATAAAAACATAATTCATTGTTATCCTGTTCCTTCTCACTCCTAAAAAGTAACAAAACACTAAGCTATTTGTCATTGATTTGCTTACCGGGTTTCGGAAAGATATGTGATCTCGGCTTTAAAATCGTCTTCAATTCTCAAATCGTTTACGGAAAGGCCAGTGGTTTCGATTGTATTACGAAGAGCACATCTGAATATAAGAGTAAGCACCATTACAACCCATTTGAAAGATAGAATTCAACATCAATTTCACTCGATTATTGATTATCGGATTATCACGTGAAATCCTTTTATATGAAATTTTCTACGCGTTCAGTCTTCTGGTAAATGCATTTGCTTAACAAACTTCTTTTTGTTCATTCATTCATGAAACCACTTATCTTACAAAACTCACTTTAGTTCGTCCTCTTGACGAATTACTACTCCCTTAGGAGCGGTCCAATGTTTTTTATGCGAAAAAGTATCGTTTAACAATAAAAATTCAATCTGTTTCTGTATACGGTATAAGAGTATTCCTGTGACATGGAGAGGTTGAGACTTGTTCTCGTCCATGAGCGGAGGGAATGATGTATTTAGATTCAGAGCTTCGCTGAAAAATAATTAAGTGAAGGAAGACAAACGGATTTATTTTGTTCCCAGTTGTAAGGCCGATTTTTGCCCGATATTATGATATTTAAACTATAACTTTGCCGCCTTGTTGATCGACCACAAATACTTTAGGCTACTAAAAACGAAACGGGATTCTTATTATATATTGAAAGGTTTTTTGGATCTCAGTGTGAAAGGCGGTGTAACGATGGGCTGCGTGAGTTCTGCAGGCTTCTGAATGGTGGAAGATATTCCCGTGATTTGTTACCACTACGCGCATACATGAAAATCGCGAAAATCATTGTTACTCGAATAAAAATACTTTCGGCATTCAGCACAAAGACCTCGGCTTCGTGCTTGAGTCTTTGGTTTTGAGTAATGAAATTTTAAAATTTTTCCTGATGGACGAATAATAAATGTTATAGATGAAGATTTAATCGAATGAATCTTTTTGTTAGCAAAATCAGTGAAACGGTGTTCTTTATTTGCATCACCGATTGATAAACTTTTTTTTTAACTGGAAATTTTAATATTTAATTTCTCCATATTTGTAAAAAATTTTTTTCCGAATTTTATATCAAATTAATCGAAATCTCTTCGCATAAATGAATGGTTATTTTGATCGCATAACCAAATTCTTTGCTTTTATAAAAAACAAACAATGTAATTCGATTATAACATATATTGTGTGATTCAAAAATTTTTAAAATCAATTTTTTAAAACTAAGAATATTCTGTGAATCTTTAGTTTGAAGTTACTTAAGAAAAAATTTCAATAAAAATTTTTTTAATATTTCTTTTTTGATAAACTATATTCTTTATTAAGTATTACAAAAAATTAAATGAAAATAAGAAAAATATCAATATTATATTATATTATATCTTTAGCTTATACAGCTATAAGCAAGATAAAAATCTAAAATTAATATGTATTTCTTAGTAAATGCTCTGAAATTATTCTTTAATTAATATAAAGTATCAAGTCTAGAAATTAAAAATCAATTAAAATATTGTAGATTTTAAATTTTTTAAAAAATATTATAAAAAAAGTTTTAATTAATATTAGTTATTAAATCTAAAAGTTATAGAATTAAACAAGATACAATTTTTATATATTTAATATTTATTAGATAGTTTTTTTTTTTTTTTTTTTAAGTTGTAAACCGGCATTAGATGCGCGACATTTTTATTAATATAATTATTAACTAAGTCAATACATCAAATGTCCCACTCCACCTATTGAGGGGGTTAACATTACATCATCTAATCTATTTCTAGCTTAGTGTGCTTACCAATAGACAACTCCGACATACCCAGCTA